TTTTTATTTTTTAAATTCATAAAAAATCCAAAATGAATTATGAATTAAAAATAATAATTTTAATTTTTAGGCAAAAAAGAAAAAAAGTATTTTTTGCCTAAAATATTAAATTTTTTTATTTTTTAAATTCATAAAAAATCCAAAATGAACTATGAATTAAAAAAAAAATTTTAATTTTTAGGCAAAAATAATTTTTTTTCTTCATACATTTATTTTTATCGGCAAAACTGTTGAGTATATAGAAAAACGTTATATTAACAGATTAAAGGAATTGTAATTTTTAATTTTTTTTAATTTGTTTGAGCAAAATCGGACTAGTGGTTCTCGAGTTATGTCAAAAAAAAGACCACCAAAGGTGACAATTTCCCCTATATGATAGTTACTAACTTCAAATCGATATATCTCGATTCCTAGATGTGACCCAGCGAAACGCCGGGCCACGTATAACTTGTTCTTGACCGATATAACATTTCCCGTTGGTTTCATCCCATCCCGATTTTGACTGTCGCATAGTGTATAATAATAATAATAGATTTGCGCTTACACATATGTTAGTGTTTGGCCGAGCTTCTCCGATTTGTGGCGTGCGCCTTGATGTTGTCACACAAAGCGGAGGGACCTACAGTTTTACGCCGACTCCGAACGGCGATTGTATTTTTATGAGAAGCTGTTCTTCTTGGCAGGTGCTGCGCCGACAATGATTGATGATGTGTTTCTTGTTTCTAACGAAGGTAACCCTGATTCGGTTAGTAGGTTAGCAATAGGTGTTGTGGGAAAGGTGTAAGGGCTTTTACTTATTCCTTGGTGGTATGGTGGTCTCTAAAGTGTTTAGGGTAGACTTTAGAGAGTTACCGTACAGAATTAATACGTAGTCTACTTTGCTTCGTATGAGTGTCTTTGTGAGATAAGTGGGGGTGGTAGGGTGGGCGTAACTTTTGCCCGATAGGTAGCGAATCAAATTTGTTTTAGTGTTGGTTATTTTTTTCATGTATGAAATGTGTTCGTTCCACTTAAAGTTTTTTTTGTAAAAATCACGCCCAATATTTCAAGCTTGGCAACGTAGTTACCTTGCGTGTTTCCAACAGCGATCAGCAAAGACTGCCTATTTTGATATTCCCCGCCACTGAGCATATTTTGGTTATAAGTACGTCTAAAGCTGAAATTACTCAAGAACGTAAACCTACCGGTACGTAAACTCGAGTCAGCTGACACAATCTGTCTTACCAGAGCGCCATGTAAATGAAAACTCAGCACCGCAGAATTTTTCTGTAGTTGTAGCCGCAGCAGAAATCTCCGGAATTTAGATTTTTCCATGTCAGCTGATTTCTTCCTTCTATAGATAGTTGCCACTTCGTCAGTTTTGCAGATAGTAAAAAAGTTATAGAGTTCCTCTTCAAAATACGTTTGAAATATTTGAAATTTACTATCGAATCAAGTTTTTTTGTTGAAAAATAAGTAGTTTATATTTAGCTAGCATCTGTTATAGCACGAAAAATTGTAGTTGAAAAGGTAAGTATAGGGTTCAATCGATACCACAAGGTATCTCTCTAATGAGTACTTGTACTCAAAAGACTGAAATTATCGATACCTACTCAGTATCGGCAAAGTATCGAGTACTTACTTGAATTATTTTCATCTTCTCTTTCGAGAGATACTTCCCTTTTTTGTTGTAAAAGGTCGTATGATTACGTCTTATCATGGTTTAAAACATTGTATGTCAAAATCAAATAAAAAGCTAATCAAGTTGCAGGTATAGAAAACGTATATATTTAAGTTATTTAGTAAGAATACAAAATAATTATTAATTAATATTTGTGGTACATTACCAAAGAACAGTATTGGTTATAATTTTTTCAGTAGTAGTTCAGTAGTAGTAGTAGTTCGATTTCGAGCTGTCACAACGTACAACACCTTTCCAAGGCGAATTCATATAAGGTGGTATCGATTCAACAAATACAACAATTATCTGTATTTTGTTTTTGCTTTTAGCTGGTGATTGTCAAATTTCAGCTATTCTTCTCCGAATGAAAGAGGGCGACAGAAAATGCAAACACTCTCACGTTTTCACTCACTCACTAGCAAAATATAAAATTTTGACAATCAAACGCTACACACAGCTGATTAAACAACACCACCTTATATAAATTCGCCGTGCACCTTTCTTTATTGCATCTCCAAAACTTCGACTATTCGTCCTCTATATTCTTTTGTTATGTTTATTCTTACAACGAGTTTCTGCACCTCCTTGTCTTCTTCAATTTTGTGCACACCTCTTATATGACGCTTAATCCTGAAAAATTATATACATACACATATACATATATGTACATGTAGGGCATAATCATACTTTATTACTAACTTGTAAGCATCTGGAAACTGCTTTTCACAAACGCCACATTTATAAGGTAATCCAGTGTGTTGCACGCGATGATTATAGTATTGATCATATTTGGAGAATTTAGAACCACAAATCACGCACTTGTAACTGAAATATCCATGGTACTGCATGTGCCTATTTAAAATACGTTTGTGGATGAAAGATTTTCCACAAAGATAGAAATTAGTCCACAAGTTAAAAGGAACGGAAATACTTACGGCAGGCTTATGTTGCTTATGTTTTTTTAATGAGCTTCTCTTCATTATTTTCGGGTGGGGTTTAGTACCGCTCACAACTATTTCGGGCTATTCCGTCCAAATGGGTGGTCCGATCCAAAAACAAATTTCACACACTTGTAGTCAAGGGTCCACGCAATATTTTAAGCACTCACTTTTGTAAATTTTGGTTACTAATTTATTTACAAATTGGGTTTGAAATATGCCCTTTTTTTGTAAAATTCGGAAATTAGCGTACATTTATCACTCCTATTCTGCTTAAATTAGCCACTTCACCAATATATTTTTGTATTCCCCTTCACTTTACACTTTACTTGATTTGTTATAACTTGCTTTATGACTTTAATATTAACCAATTCATCACAATTCATTAAATAAAAACACCTTCAAAATCACGCGTCTGACTTTGGTTGCATATGCAAATTAAATGGCGGAGTTCAGCTGTCAAACTCCAGAATATGCAAAAGAATGAGAGACAAAAGAAGATAGGATTTAACCCAGTAAGCATTAAAAATATACAAAGGTGTTCTCTGCAAAAGGTGTTCAGCTCCTTTTCTTCGCAAAACAGAAAGGGGAATTCTACTGCCTGAGGGTTATAATCCCTAAGTGCGGCCGAAGGCCGCCTACGCAGAAAGGTGTTCTCTGCAAAAGGTGTTCAGCCCCCCTTCTTTGGCAACACAGAAAGGAGAATTCTACTGCCTGAGAGTTATAATCCCTAAGTGCGGCCGAGGCCGCCTACGCTGAAAGGTGTTCTCTGCAAAAGGGGTTCAGCCCCCCTTCTTTGGCAACACAGAAAGGAGAATTCTACTGCCTGAGGGTTATAATACCTAAGTGCGGCCGAAGGCCGCCTACGCAGAAAGGTGTTCTCTGCAAAAGGCTACTACGGTTTTCTAAAGTTTTTTGTGAAAAAGAGCACAAGGCAACCCAGATTTGCAACAGAAATATATGCCCGTTCCATTATTTCTTGAGGAAAGAGTGAGGCAATAGGCTGTGGGGTAACAAAAATGTCAAAATTCCTTGGACACACATGTGAAATAATGGCAATTTTTTCTTGGCCGTTTTCTTGAGAGCTGCATACAGGGCTATATGAGTGTATAGGTCACCCAATATGGATAAGTTTCGGATTTTTGNGTGTAAAGCTCTTGTATAAATTAACAATTTTTACACACAAATTTCAAAGATTTATTTATTTCGTTGTGTTTGTTTTGTGTTTGAAAAATTCCAAATGTCAAAGACAAACCAAAGCTTTTGTGGAACTTTTGTTTCTGAGTGCGTTCAATAAAATAGTACGGCAATTGGAACGCATTTGTTTCGTGATTTTGTGTAAATGCGTCGAAATGCGTCATTCTGGAAATGTGAATTTGTATGGAGAAATGCGTGATTTGGCCTCGCATTTGACGCATTTGGGCTCAATGTAAATGTAATATAAACTTAAAAGTAAATGTACTTCAAAAGAGAGTCGGCATACAGTTTCTTACAATCCCATAAGTGTATATGTTACAAAGGTATAAGAGCGAGCATAGCCATAGATTTCCATGTGTGTACACGTTAAACTACTTATGGTATTCTTATGTACACTACCCCCCTCTTAAATTCCGATATACATTTTAATATTTGCTTATTTATATGTATTTATGTATATGTATTACAAAATTCAATTTCAGTAGTAGTACTTCAGTTACAGATATTTTTTAACAGTGCCGAAGTTTTATTGAGTTTTATTTACTTAACTGACTACTCGACTTCTCAGTTTATATTTATAACCTTGTGTATCGTTTTCTTTTAGTATTATGCTACCAGTATTTGTGATCTCTTGGTCATTTCCTGCATCAGGCGAAACTACTGAATTTTTATACTTTTCCTCCTTTCTATTGATATTCGACTCTAAGCTTTGACTCTCTAGCGGATCAAGTAACTTTTTTGAAATGCCTAGATCATTTGTATTTCCTGTGCTACAAGCAATCATTTGATTTGCATGACGTTTCCATACTTTTTCCGAGGCTGTAGTTTTTACCCTGAATGTTTGTTGGCCTAGTTTTTCTAAAATTTTAGCTTTGGTCCAACTGACCCTTCCCGGTATCGAGTAATCCTTAACAATAACTTGATCCCCGTCTTTAAATTTGTTTCTTTTACTACCACGATAGTGAACTCTCTGTTTAACTTGCTGATCCTTCACCTTTTCTCTTACAGAGGTATCGGGTTTGCGATCAGCTTCTCGCTTTGGGTTCAAAATATATAACCGAGTGCGTAGTAGCCTGCCAAACATAAGCTGCGCTGGAGATACACCTGTGCTACTGTGCACCGCATTACGATAGTCCAATAGAAACCTATTTAAAACATCATGGAAATCTGCTTCCCTGGTTTGATACAAGCCTCTCTTTAACGCCGTTTTTATTACTTTCACACAACTTTCAGCTTAGCCGTTGGTAGCAGGGTGACCTACTGGTGAAGTTATGTGCCTAATGGAATTTTTTTCCAAAAAAATTGGAATCCCCCCGACACAAAAGCCGTCCCGTTATCAGAAACTAAGATTTCCGGCAACCCAAAACGAGCAAAAATTTGTTTTAGCACCCCTATCGTCGCCTTGCTCGTCGTATTTTTGCCCATGCCGATGCACTCGACCCATTTGCTATAGCTGTCCACTACGATTGGACACCATCGATTCATAAATGGTCCAAAGAAATCAATATGCACCCTCGTCCACGGATTTTCAGGCCAGTTCCATGACTTAAGAATTTGCTTCGCCGGATCCGGCCGTGACATTAAGCAAGCTTCACAAGACTTCGTTTCCTTCTCAATGTCTGCACCTTGAGTTGGCCACCAGCAACACTCTCGGGCCATTCCTTTCATCTTAGCAATACCGAGATGAGAAGCATGAAGGAAGGCCTTATCTGCACATATACTGGGCCACCCTGACTTTATGAAATCGCAAACCATTTGTAGCAACTTGTCTTTTTGTGTTTCCTTCCTAATTTTTGCAATATTTAAATGAACCTTATTGTTTTGTTGAACGTAACCGGACCGTACTCTTCATCGATTTTGATTTCCGAGGGGTTTCTAGAAAAATAATGGGCAATGTTCGTCTTGGACTTAATGTTGACTATATCGAAGGTATATCCAGATAACGTTAATGCTATCCTCTGCAGCCTATTTGCAGCCATTACTGGAATTCCCTCTTTTTTGGGTCAAAAATGTGATACAAAGGTTTATTGTCTGTCACCAGCGTGAAGTATCGGCCGTACAAGAAATGATGAAACTTTTTGACACCGTATAGGATTGCCACAGCCTCGCGATCAAGCTGCGAATATCTCTGTTCTGTTTCCGATAACCTACGCGATGCAAATTCTATAGGTCTTTCAATGCCTTGTGCTGTAACTTGCGACAATACTGCCCCAACTCCCACCGGGCTAGCATCTACCGTGAGCTTGGTCTTTAGCTGGGGGTCAAAGTGTGCTAAACACGTATCTTGTTTTAACCCTGCTTTTAACGCGCCCACCGCATGCTTATATTGCTTGGACCACACGAATTTGGTGTTTGCTTTGAGCAATTCATATAACGGGGCATACACTTTTGCTACATCTGGTAGGAACCGACGGTAAAAATTTATCACGCCTAAAAATCCTTGCAGTTCTTTAACTGACTGTGGATACGGCATGCGATCGATTTTACGTGTTTTGGCTGGATTCGGATGTAGCCCCTCTTTATCTATAATATGCCCTAAGTACTCTACCCGTTTGCAGCAAAACTGGCACTTATCTTTCGCTAATTTCAATCCGGCATTTTGCAAAATTCTCAAAACCCCTTCAAGTCTTTTCAAATGTATTCCTCGGATTGGTGCCGTGATTAAAATGTCGTCCANATCAGTCAATGTAACGCCTATTCTTAATCAAACGGAAGGGCGAGTAATCGCCAGAGCAACAATTGATTGCAAAGCAGCGGTTGATATGTGAGCAACAAGAAGTTTAGTAAGAATTCAAGCGAGAATATTACTACTCCTTCTAAATGCATCAAAAGGCCCTCCATAATCTTTTGGAAAATTGCTGGAGCGGACGCCAACCCGTAAACAAGCCTAGTGTACAGAAACAGCCGTTTCGTAGTCGCAATCGTTGTCAATTTGCGTGATTCGGCCTCGAGTTCTACCTGCTGATAAGCTGTCAATAAGTCGAGTTTTGTAAACTCCTCCCCCCATGAAGTTTTGCAAAGAGATCTTCGAACCTCGGTAATGGGTACTGCTCAACAACTACATTCGGATTAACTGATACCTTGAAATCCCCGCAGATTCTGACCCCCCCCCGTCTTTTTTTAGAATAGGTACTATAGGTGTAGCCCACTCGGAGAACTCTACTGGCTCCAGGACTTTTAGTTGCACCAAGTTGCTGATTTCTTTTTCGACCTTTGCTTGGATCGCCAACGGTACTGGTCTTGGCTTAAAAAACTTTGGGGTCGCGTTTTCGATCAACTGCAACTTCGCTTGGCCTTTCTTGAAACAACCTAGCCCCCATCGAACAATAAGGGAAATTTTTCAAACACCAAAGGCAAACCTACACCTTCGTTGCCCTGTGTAAAGTTTAAATTTGCAATATGTAAGCCAAACGCTCTTAAAAAATTCCTACCCAGTAATGGTGGGCCACCATTATCGACCACTAAGAATTTTATCACTTCATTTTTGCCTTTAAGCTCCACCAGTCCGTCATAACTACCAGCCGGATGTATTGCCACGCCATTATACGTTTTTAGGATAACGTCTGTGGCTACCAACTCGCCTTTGCCACATAAATTCATAAACCTAGCTGTCGAGAGAATACTGTATTCAGAACCAGTGTCCAATTCCATGCAAATAGGAATTTTGTTTAAACATACATTTAATCTTATTGGACCATCGTTTACAGTCTGCAGTGCAAATAAATTCATTTCACAATTTACGACAAACTTTA